TGGTGCAAATTACTGACCTCTGTCATCATTTTAAGTGGGGGAACTTGCACAATCGGTGGCTGACTAAATACTTTTTTGCCCCACTGTATGTGTTCCAAGCTTTTAGCATCATATTTAAAAAGAGCATGCTTCAACAAAGTATTAAGCAAAGACTATGAATACTTATGTGTATGTTATGTTTTTGTTTTTAATACATTTGCAAAAACTTGAGGTGTTATGTGCATAATTTAAAGTTGAATATGAAGGCTGTAACATAACAAAATATGGAACAAGTGAAGTGCTGTGAATACTTTCCAGATGCACTGAAAGTGCAAAAACTATGCAACAAATACACAGAATTTTACAAAAAAGTTAATGTTTTGACAACTAAAATGCGAGTCACAGTCTGTGTCTATGACCTGGTTCATTATCCTCTTAGTTTATCTGAAGCTCAGTTGTGGTGTTTAGTATTTAAAAGGTTAGTTTTGAGTCCCCCTAGCTTTGGACTCTAAATCCAAACAGCAGTGGACAGATTTGCTTGCTTTCACCACCAACACTGCTGGCTTAGCGGCATGCCTGGTCTGTGGGTGGACCTGAGTCAAAATTATATTGAAAGTGTCCTGATAACTGATCCGAAGCAATTTCCTAGAAACCTGTGCAATTTTTTCTGTCAACGCCTCTGTTTCGATCAGTATATCAAAAGTCTTGTCTGGCCTCACTGTGCGCAGATTAGAAATGCAAAGGTCAAACCAGTTCTTCCAAATAATGCAATCGAACATCTTATCCATATCCTCATTTCCTCCTGATTAGATTATTGCAACTCATTGTAAACATGCCTCAGTGATGCAGCAGTTTCCTGTCTACAGTTAGTAGAAAACAGCAGAAATAACGCTCACAAGCACTCGACTCCAGCCCTCGCAGAATTACTCTGGCTTCCCATCCGCTACAGAATCCAATTTAAAATTTCACTGATTACTTTAAAATCACTACATGTCGCCCCTGAGTCCCTCAGATCAGACAATCAATTCCTGTTGTAGATTCCGGGTCTGGGCTGGAATCTGGCTGCTTTTTGCCGTTTTGGCCCAAACTGTGGAACAATTTTCCTCTTCCGATCAGCACAATCAGTTCTCCTCAGTAAATAAACAAAACAAAATGTGTAGGCTGGCTTTTGTTTAATGTTTTAGATTAATTTTGTTCAAGCCTCACATTTACTCATTTCATGTACTTTGTAATGTTTTAATACTGCTATTTATTGTGGAGCACCTTGTGAGTGCTTTGCTATAGAAATGAAGCTTGTCACTGTTATTTTTGTAGTATTTTCAAAGCTATTCTGTTTTATTTATTATTAAATTAGGTCACTTCGTTTGATTAATTTGCACAAAAACATGTGTGTTCACAGCGTGCCTATACATGAGCATTTGTAACATAAAGGTCACCTGCCATCTTTTCACTAAATCTGGCCCCTTTTGTCTCTGTCTCAAAGAAAAGGTCAAAGGTGAGTGATCTTCAGAATCGTTTCAGAGGACTTCTCCTGCCCCGCGCTCCCAGGACAGCACCAGAACACAAACAAGCGACTTCTCTGGACGTGGAAAAGACGTGTACTTTTTGAACTCTATCATAACATTACGCAGTAAAAAGAAGAAGACAGATGCATCATCGATTAAATGTAAATAAGGAAGAAAAAAAGGTAATGAATGAGAGCTCATCTTTTTGTTTGCTTTCTTTCGTTTCCTCAGAAGCGAAAGCTAAGCATCCATCCTGCAGATCGAGGACAAAACATGGACGAAATATGCACATACATACATCTTCATAAAACATAGGACATAAACTCTGACATACGGTAAACACATGTATGTAACACATGTATGCAGGGAAAGGAAACACATTAATGGGACTTGTTTTTCTGGAATGAGCACATTCAAGTGAACAAATTTCTTTATTAGCTTCTTCATAATGATTGAAAACCAGTGCTGTGTTGAAGATTATTATTATTATTATTAGTACTATTCATCCTGCGCTCTCACTACATGTGTGAAAGAAACTAGAGGTCGGTAAATTATCAATAAAGTCTGATTTAAAAATATTTTCTTTCTTCATGCGAATCCAGAGTTGCACTCGATGCTGCAAAAAACCAAAAGATATTAATAGCAAGTCACAAGACAGGAAATACAGCCACACTTTACATGATGACCTGCCTGATTGATGCTGTTGGAGGCCACTGATAATAATCAGGACAGCTGTAATATGGCGTTTACAGGTATGTCAAATGGTGACAAAGGGGGCAACAGAAAGTAGCTTTTTCCGGGCAGTTATATTGAAGTAGTGGATCTGACAGAGTAGTTAGTGCTGTCTGCTCAGCTGTGATGCTTAGACTTGTTTACCATACTCTGTCTTTTTTAGTGTGCCAATCAGATTTATGTCAGTACTACCGAATACTATAGACCAGAGTCCATCTGATTTGGAGTAAGAAACACAGCAAGACCATGTCACGGGAGACGAGGCTTTCTGCAACAACATCAGCAAAGCTGGCGACACATCTAATCAAAGAAACACCTGGAAAAAAAAGGTGTCTGAAAGCTGAATATTGTACTTGAGACTGAAAGACAAATTCATCAAAGGTCCTCCAATGTGTGTACTTCACTACATCTGTCGCCAACAGAGATGGGCAGTTATCCAATTACCTTTTTTAAGTAATGAGTAAAGTAAGGGATTACTATTGCAAAAAAGGTAATTAGATTACTGTTACTTTCCCGTAAGCACGCTGCGTTACTGCGTTACGAAACCGTGATTTCGTTTGCGAGAGTGTTTTATGACAATGACATAAACAAGTGCGATGTTCGTGACAACAGCTGTGTGCAGATCAAAAATGGATAATATATGGAGTGCAGGAGAGAGTACGAGCGTGCAGCGTTTAAAGCGTGGAAGTACTGACCTTACTTTGAGTGTGATTCCGTAAAAGTGACAAAAACATTAGCGACCGCTGTTCACTGCGTGGGAAGAAAACTTCTTTTTACAGCGAAAAAAAACCCAAAACACAAAAAACGATTTTATTTAAATGCTGGAATGTGCAGAAGATAGGTTTAAATGATAAACTAATTTCTTCCAGTCAGAGAATGTTGCATATAATT